AATCATTAATAGTTGGACATATTCCAGAACACTAAACTGGTTACATCGTTTCATCAAAATAAGTTAATGCACAAGCATTCATTTAGACAAAAAAAATGTAATATGCCATGTGGCAGCTAATGAATTCCCCTGTCCAGCTCAGCTTTCCCAAATACCCTCTGGAATCTCTGAGTTTTGGCTCTAAATTAAGTGACTGCATTGAGTATAATTTGCAGTTGGTATTGTATTGTGGCAATGGCCAAAGAGCAAAAACAATATAAGATCTTCAACAACATGCTACTCAGAAGAACTGGCTCTTCTGTTTAAATCAAATAAGATCAGTGTGAAAGTACAAAGTGTCTCTCACAATAACTGAAAACTGAACAGTATGGACAGGTTACTAAACCTCTTACTGTTCCCAAAGCAGACCAGTTCAGTAGTCACACACCAAATAGCATCAGTAGTACCGTTTACCACATGAGTCTGTCTCGGTCGTTACACCCCCCGCCGAGTTAGACACTTTTCACACTTCGCAGACCAAAGCACCAGGCAGGTCCCACCAGGCTTGAGAAAACCTGAAAACCAAATCGCCCTCTTCTTCTCTTCCCTTCAGTTGAAACTGGAAAGATGGGGACAGTAAAAAAAGAAAGAAAAGAGAGAACGAAAAGGAGAAAAGAGCCGTCCTGACACAGGGTTTTCCCCATTTCTCTTTGTCACAACCACAATCCCCTCCAACACAGTCCTGGCAAGGAAGTTTCCATTTGCTAAGCTAATTAAATAGAACAAAACAGGATGAAAGAGGGTGGGAACAGAAGAAGAAAGAAAATGTTCCAGGTTTGCTCTGTCTAAATAATGTCAGATTGGCACATCCACATGCAGAAGGTTTTGTTGTCTACTGTTACAGCCTCTGATAACTAAGCGATGGTGGCTGTGGTCCAACAAAAGCCAGTGCTTGTGTCATGTAGTGTCAAAACTGGACTCTGCTAGTATGCACAAGTAAGTAAGAGTCTCTTCCAACTCGTCAGCAAGAGAGTGGAGGGGGAGGAGGGCAGCTTCTTTCAAACACATGCATCCTGCAGATGTTAGCAAATCCAGCGCAAGCACATCTCTGGGGGGGGAGGGGGTGCATCTTGTTTAGGAAAAACATCCTTTCCTTTTATTCGTTTCAGCTGCCTGTGAGGAAATCCAGTGCCACTGTTCTCAGCCCAGTCCAAGAGACTGTGGTAATGACCACGCTGGCAGAGAGATGTGGCAGGATGGGATGGAGGATAATGGTATATAGGAGGCAGAAGGCCATGTCGATGTGGGTATATCTACTTCTGTGTGTGTGTACTGTGCTTATACAGTGACAAAACAGGAGTTCA